GGAGGGGGTAGGAGAAAGCAATTTTATGTCATATTACTCCAGGAAGTGCCTGAAAAGGCGTCTAATGTGGTTCTAAAATTGCAAATGCTTCCTACTCTGGGAGGGGGTCAAAACCCCCTCCCAGACCCACCCCCGCTTGGTCGTTCCCCTCGCCGCTAAAGCCTCGCTCTGTCGCTTCATCAGGTTTTACATATATTTCACCCTATGCTACCCCCCGTAAGAAACTCCTGGATCCACCACTGGTGCCCATACCCATTGAGCTTCGGGGGCTCCGCCCCCTGACCCCCCTGATGGGGCTTTGCCCCTAGACCCCACTTTGAAAAACGTTCAGCAGGGCCTGCATGTTAGAGTGGGGTGATGCGGATTTTTTTTTTGCCAGCCCCCCAAACGTTTTTGCTCATTACGCCACTGGTGGAGAGAGAGAGGGAGAGAGAGAGAGAGAGAGAGAGGAGGGAAAAGAATGAGAGAGACCGATTAAAGTGGTAAGAGAGACGGATAACAACAGTGTTGGAAGGAGAAGAAATACAAAGGTATAGAAGAGGGGAGTGGCTTCGAGTAAAAGTTCTCTTATTCTATACTACCTTAAGGCTTAAGCCTGGCTTCCAGCCGGATTATCAAATAATTCACTGGATTAGATTAGACTGAGGACCTCTCTTATTTACGCCCATTGGATATTAATTGCGATTCCTTTAACGTATCTGTATTAGTTACAAGGAAGTATTGAACAAAAATCCTACCTCTTTGGTTGTATCAAGTTATGCATTTCTAATTCTGTATACTAATGACCGAGTATAAAAACACTAGTATTACATTCCGCAAGACCGAACACGTTACCCGGGGGTGAAATGCTATTCGTAAACACGAGAATAGAATATACCTACTGTACCTATAAAAGCTATACGACGGACAAAGAAAGAAAGAAGAAACAAACGAGCTATTCTATTAAGTACACGAATAAACATCCTTTTTGTTGATGGCCTAAATTGAATCAAGAGTTGACAGCTAGGCCTTCGGGTTCTACTCGATGAAAAGGGCCTTAAACGACTTGTAAGAACTGACAGTATTGATCATGAAATAACTACGCAGAGCGCACCAATTCACACTACACCTTTTGATTCGAGGGGTGACTTGGACAGCAGCGGGTATCCTAACAACTGCTTGTCTTTGTATTCGTCAAGTAGGTAAACATTTACGACAATATCTAACAGGGAAAATGAATATAAACTTGGAAATAGACGGGATAACCCATGAGAACTCATAGCGATGGAGATACATTGTGTACATACATTGTAGCCTATATGAACATAATTTTTTGGTCAAGGGAATGAACCACAATACCATGATATGCCTCCATATTTATTTAAAAATATCATAATATCAGTCGTTGTTTTAAAATATATACAAACATCAACCGCCAGCCGACACTACATTGATGACCATTTAACCTAATTACGAAAGTATGAAGATAGCAGACGTAAGCAGGTAATGAGCCAAAAACATGGGGGCGGGGGCTGGGCTAGTGGGGAATGAAGTATTGTACGCAATGCATAATTACGACTCATATGATGTTTTGTACCCTAATACTTCATTCTATGTTATATAATACATGCTATGTTATGTTATTAGTATCCCTTGCAGATTCTCGAGTGAGGGGTGAGGAAAATATCCGGGGACTTTGTCCCCCAGCCCCCCCCCCCCCGGAATTACTGACTCTGATTGCAGTAGTATATTTTACATGTCTTTCCCAAGTTTTGAAAGTTATTTCATGATATTGCAAACTCGATGATACAGGGGATTGGTATGGGCCATAGGGCTAGGGTTTGCGAGAAGTTCCCCCTTATCGTATGAAAATCTTGATAAAACAAGTATTTCTTGCATTCAAAGCTATGTGGGAAGTGAGTATTCGGATGAATAAGCAATTTTTAAATAACAGTAATAAATACATTTATTAAAGGTCCTAAGTCCCATTTGCAGGCCCAAAAAATGAAAAAGTTAAATTCCAACTGCATTTGAAAGATAATACTAATTTAGAACTTCCCTAAAAAAGGTGGGGCTTGAAAATGTCTTCAAGTGGGAAAATAGCGACTATAAGTGTCAAATCGACTTTAGGGCTATAGAGCCCAAAAGTAATAGTCTTGATTAGTCAGACAATTGTACCGAATGGTCATACGTTTTATGCTGCGCAAAGATTCAATCAGTTTAATCTTGGCCATCACAAGAAGTGGGTTATTGATGTAGACAAATGCTCATGTACCCTTTACAACTCTTTTCATGTATGTTATTACCAAAGAAGAAAAAAGCCAGTCAGTCACTCAATAGTGTCTGACAGTGAAGTCTAGCAAGTAAATGGGTTTCCTTGCATAATTTGAATATGAGGACACTGCTAACATATAAATTTCACAGATAGGACATACATGACATATTCATAATTCCTGCAAAGTTCTACAGCGTTTGAGGTTGGCTGCAAAAGGGAATGTTACTCACTACTCATTCAAGGCATGCAGATCTTTGTCCCGGCCTTTAATGCTTAGATGTAGGCTAATAAGTTTCCAACTTAATGCACTTGTAACAAGCAAATCATCCAGTGTTCTTTATCATTTAATCGTGTTGTCTTTCCTGACAAAAGACCAACCCATCTAATAAAATAGAAAAAATCCCTCATCCATGACCCCCATATTGTACAATGGAACCTTGCGTTTGATACCATTGACCATGGTATCCTCCTCAGGAAACTAGAGCATTATGGAATACGTGGTGTAGCATTGTCTTGGTTCCAAAGCTATTTGTTTGACAGGACTCAATTTGTTGTGGTGGATGGTAGTAGTTCCCAACTTGCTTCTATTAAATATGGTGTACCTCAGGGTTCTGTTCTTGGTCCCCTGTTGTTTTTAATTTATATAAATGATATAATACACTCGTCAACATTATTCTCATACTCCCTGTTTGCTGATGATACCAGCTTGCTGCTGGTTGATAAGAAGGCTGAAGATTTATTACTAATTGCAAATCAAGAGATTCAGAAACTGTATGCATGGTATTGTTGTAATAAGTTATTGTTGAATGTTCAAAAGACCAAATGTGTTATTTTTCGCTCAAAGGGTAAAAAGCTTCCAGATGGTATTACTTTTCTTAATGTTGGAGGCCATGATGTTGCGCTTAGTGAAAATGTTCAGTTCTTAGGGTTAACTATGGATGAACATTTATCTTGGAAGAATCATTTAGATGTTGTATGCACTAAGTTGTCTCGAAGTGTAGGTGTCATTTTTAGATTGAAATTTATTTTACCTGAAAGAGTGCTGATAACATTATATAATAGTATTATTCTTCCTTATTTGACATATTGTAATGTTGCTTGGGGAAACACTTTTAAGTCATATCTTGATAAGTTTAGAGTATTGCAGAAGAAGGCAATAAGGCTTATTACTAATTCTAATTATAGACATCCAAGTTCTCCATTGTTCCTTCGATTAAGAATGTTACCACTAAGTGGACTTGTGTCAATCAATTGCGTATTGTTTATGTATAAACTTCAGTTTATGCCTCATGAATGTACGTTAAAAGATTTATTCCGTACAAACTCACAAATTCATAATTATAATACACGTCAAAGGGGTCTTATTCATCAGCCTTTTGCAAGAACAAATATCACTCTGACCTCTTTCCATATCTCTTGCATCAAAGAATGGAACAGTTTGCCTGATGATATAAAATATAGTACAACTCTTTCTAGGTTTAGAAGGTTATCTAAAACGTATCTACTTGGAAGACTGACATAATTCTACTTTGTATCTTAATAATTTCTCATTCTCAAATGCTTATAGACCACTAAGGACTGTGTGTGTGTGTGTGTGTGTGTGTGTGTGCGCGCGTGTGTGTGAATATTTTTTTGTGTTCTATATTCTGTAGCTTAGTTTGTTTCCATCCCTTGTATAAACATTATATTCTTTTTATTCACCTTGCCATATCGTTAATGTATGTATTTTGTTGACTACAGGGCCCCGCTCACAAGCTTAGCTTCTACAGGGGTCCTAAAACCATTCACTTAATGATGTACTATTACCAGTCTCTTTTTCATGTAAAAGATTATATCATGTTTTGTGTGGTTTTGAATAAATGAACTTGAACTTGAACTTGCACCCACAGCTATCCTTGACACAGGACAAAGACATCAACACGGACCAGTGCACTTCATTGTACCTTTAACAGCCCATTTTTATATCGACAGGGACTGTGGACTGTATTCATTTTTAAATCTATAGACCCCCAAAAGTAAATATGAACATTCATCAGCCTGTGATGCATTGCTGTTGACCTATAGGGTTCAACTGAATTGGTGCGAATAAGAGGCGAAACACACTCAAAATGGCTCCAGACCATGCGACAATTGGTGACAGAGCATTCACAACTGCTGCTTTCGAAACTGTGGAACGACCAAGAATTCTCTTTAACAAGCAATCTTTCAAAAAAACATCTCAAAACCTCACATTTTTTTTGTTAAAAACACAATTGTGAATGCATGTATATGGAGGATGTGCTGCATACATACATTATCAGCTGCACTCGCGTAAAAATAACACCACTAATTGGCAATATATCAATGCCAGCAGAAATTATAATTAACTTATATTTATCATATGAGAATACACGGTATACACCAGATGGTGGAGTGCACTCATTGAGTATAGTAAGACCTGATTCGACGTCTTTTAATTGACACGGACGCTGCTACAAATATGGATTTTCCAAGACGATGAAAATATGTATTGATCATTTCTTCCTTCCTCTAGACTAGTACCATAGTAGTCCAAGGTAATCCACACATAGCACCTTGAGTCATCTATTCCATGGTTAAACTCTCACCGAAACTGCATGAAAGAAAGCTTGTTCTGTACTGTACAGTACGCACTTGTACATGAACATGTAAAGTAAATTAACATGTGATGCACATTTATCCGACATTTATACTGTTATTCTGCTATCTTATCATGTTTATCTCTTACCTGAAATTTGCGAAAGCATCCATTGGAATAGGCTGTGAAAGTGGCGCCCGGTATAATGCAGTTGTATGTACACTCACTCACTCAGCTATAGACCAGTCGACTTGTCTGAATCTTACATCTCCTGTCAGATGTTTCTTTTAATGATCAGTCGATGTATGATGTCATGAAGCTCCGGTTACATGCTACTCACATTACCGCATGCTTCCATGTACATTGGTGTAACCATTACATAGATCCCTCGATATACAAAACACATTCATAGAACTGTATGATATGTACGTGTATACGGTAACTCGTGAGAGAATGAATTATGTCTTACACATCATACTGTACTCCGACCACTTCATTGTCCACGGATCGTTCACTTCTCGTTGCATTTGAACAAAAGGCATTCTGATATCCGTGTGACTATTTACTAGCAACAAACAATGGTCCGTGCTCCGGACCATGGTCGAGCAATTGGAAGCGTACTGACTGAAGCCTATTCTAAATTTATTCTAAAATCTTTCTAGGGCTTACAAATTCATACTGAATGATACACGTACGTCAGCGGCAGAGCGACTTTCAAAGTGGGAGGGGGGCACCAACAAAAAAAGGCACTTTCTAAAGAAAAAATGGCCCCTACAAAGGGAAATCTCAAAGTTTAAATATAGACATTGATATGTACCCCTACATTGTGATTACATTATAAGGGATAATTTCAATATTTGTTTCTCTTTATACATCATACTTAGCAGTTGGGTGTGATGGTCTGAATATTCATTTGCGAGCTATAGGAAATATTCTAAGATTTGTGAGGTCGCAGTGCGAAAAATTACATTTTATAAAGAGGATAATTCCCAATCCTAATGGGGTTATAAGCACAATGTGCTCATGTTCATAACGGAAGACTGAAAAGGTAACATAATTATATCATCTATAAATTCAAGCAAGAGTAGCGAGCGAGCTTCGGGTAAAATTGCTCTCAGTCGCTTTAAATTAGGGACTCGTTTAATGATGAGAGGAAAAGAGGACACTTTAGTATCGGAAAGGATAAACTAGACACTGTTGGAAAAGAAAAGGAGCACGTGTAAAAGTTCAAGGGTAAATTTCAGAGGTTAAAATGAGGCACTTCTTACACCTGAAAAGAGTTCACAGGGATGAAAAAGGGCACTCATGAAAGTAAAGGGGCATCGATCAGCCTTTAATAGGGGCATTTATTGAAGGTGAAAGGGGGCTTTTATGAAAAGGGGGAAATGCACGTATCAAAAAGAAAAAGAGGCACATGTTAAAATAAACGGGGCCCTTATAGATGGAAAGGTTTAATTATGAAAAGGGAAAGAGGCACTTATAGGAAGTAAAAGGGGAACTTATAAGAAGGAAAAAGAGAAGTTATTAGAAAGGAAAAGGGGCACGAGTCAAATTAAAAGGAGCAGTTACTAAAGTTGAAATGGGGCACCTCTGAGAATGAAAATGGGCATTTATGAGAAGGGAAAGGAGCTCTTTTTTGGATGGGGGCACTTATCATAAGGAAAAGGGGCACTTATTAGAAACAAAAAGGAGCACATGTTAAAATAAAGGAGGCACTTATCAGAGATGGAAAGGGGTAAATATGAGAAGGGAAAGGGGCACTTGTATGAAGGAAAATGAGCATTTATTAGAGGTGAAAAGCGGCATTCATCAGCGATGGAAAAAAGCACATATCAGGAGGGGAACTGGGCACTTCTCGTACCTGAAAAGGGGCACTTACTACAGATTAAATAGGGCACTTATGATAATGGAAATGAAACTTATTGCAAAGGAAAATGGAAAATTGTCGAAGGAAAAGGGCCATGTGTCAAAATAAAAGGGGAACTTATCATAGATTAAAAGGGGAAGGGGCACATTTCCTATGTAAAGAGAGGCACTTTGGGCGTACTTGAATAGTGGGTGGGCACTGTGCCCCCTTCTCTGCCCCCCCCCCCCTGGAGCGCCGGCGATTTTTTTTTTTTTTTTTTTTTTTTTTTTATTTTTTTTTTTTAAGGATGTCACCCCCATCCCCGAGAGTTAGAAAATCATCCCAAATTTGTTTTAATGTTGATCTATGGGTAGGGTCCATATCACTGCATATAGCTATTTTGCAGGCGCAGATTACTAAAGCCTTGTGCAGAGCCTATACAGTGCGTCCCAGAAAAAACGAAACCGAGAAGTATCGATGTTTTATCATATCTTAATCACAACTATAATTAATGAATGATACATATTTGGAAAGCTTAGAGTCTCTTCTTTCATGTGATGCTACTCAGATAATGTATATTTCACGCATGAGTGATTAAAAGCAATTTGAAGGAAGGAAACCAAAAAGACATTTGGCGGGCGGTATCTGAATTTCGAAGAAAAATTCACATTTCTAGAAAGTTGAGTTTCTGCCCTTTCATATGACACCTCAATCAGGAAAAATGAGCGAGGAATGACAAAGTTCTGTTTGTTTAAAGTAGTGCTTGCATTTCCATAGTTGTATCAAACGAATTCGTTTTGACTGGCTGCCTGCCGTATCAATAAACGAAATTAACAAAAGACTTAAATCCGTTTCGTTGACAATCAGCCGTAAACGAGAGTCATCATGCATGGCTGATTGTCAACGAAACGGAGTTAAGTCTTTTGTCAAATCTGCTTTTTGCTACGGCAGGCACCCAGTGAAAACGAATTCGTTCGTTAAAATTATGAAAATGTAAGGGCTACTTTAAACAAACAGAACTTTGTTATTCCTGGCTCATATTCTTGATTGAGGTACCATATGAAAGAGCAGAAAATGAACTTTCTAGAAATATGATTTTTTTCATTGAAATTCAGATACCGCCCGCCAAAATACTTTTTGGTTTCCTTCCTTAAAATTGCTTTTAATCACTCATGCGTGAAATATGCATTATCTGAGTAGCATCACATGAAAGAGGAGACTCTAAGCTTTCCAAATATGTATCATTCATTAATTATAGTTGTGATTAAGTTATGATAGAACATCGATACTTCTCGGTTTCGTTTTTTCTGGGACGCACTGTATATGTCAGTCTCTGGCTGTGCAGACACGCACGACTGGCAAGAGTTCGTGCCTGCGAATTCGGTATGAATATAAGTTCAAAACTCCAGTTTGTTTTCCACAGCAATCACAGTATAAAAGTAAACAAATAAATACAAGGCCTATAATAATCAAATTACAAAAGAAAAATCGCCAAACAAAACACAACGCCGGGAACGATGATTTACTATAAGGAATTCAGTTGAAACAATCATAATGGAAAAAATATTACACATTTTATTGATGTGGAGGGAGCCAACAGGAAAACAGTTGAATAGTCTTGGGTCTAAAATTAATGATTTACACTCAACATATAAATTCAGGAAAAAATGTAGTATTCAATTTTTGTTTAATAAAACTAAATGACAAATTATATTAGGAAAAAAATATATATAAAATGATATTGGCCTAAATAGAGCAAAAATATATATGTATATTTCATAGACATTATACATAAAAAGGATCAATGTTCATTCTATCTCTACCATCCGTTTCACCGATTCGAGTATTTATTTATCAGGTGGTGTTTTCGTTTAAAGCTTGCGTGTTAAAAATTGGAGTGACATTGATTTTTTATTTCATTGGGTAAATGAGTCTACAGGTTTGGGCCGGTTATCAGACTTTGATTGTCCTGGAAGCGAACTTTTTTTTCCTACGAACTTTTATACCTGGCGCATGCTCACATACAAACTTTTATACTTCACGCATGCAAGGAGGTCACAAACAATTAGACTTTAATTACTTATTGCTTTGCCTCACTATTTATAAAGGCAAAAAACTAAATAAACTGAGATTTTAACCCCCACGGCAACTCCAAGGTTCTATTAGTAACACGCTGTCCTTATCGATTGAGCTAACGATGAGTTGATGAAAGATTGCTTTGTATAATTACTATCACCCTATTGACCGCCCTACCGGATTCCACGTGCGCATGCGCTGGTTTCCTTCGCGAGTGCGCATGCGCAGGTTCCCCTCGTGAGCTCAAAGTTCGTAGGAAAAAAAAATTCGCGTCCTGGAAAACTTTCATCAGTTGGGGATAATGATAACATTTAGTTTTTAAGCTTCTACCAACCTTAAATTTGTTATGCAAGCTTGCGTCCACTCATGTGGACTTTCTCAAGCTAAGAGCCACACGTTTGCTTCGCTGCACTGCCTGGTGTCCTGCGATCACTGGACCAAATATCGGTGACAATAGGTACCCAGAGTCCCTGTTTAGTGATGGCTTAATCCTCTTAACATTGGATTTGAGGATGTCCTCATCATAGACTTTGAAAGTAACTTCTGGTCAAGAAAGGTGAAAGAGTGAGAGTCCAAATGGATTAAGAGGATAAAGCCATCGCTAAACAGATACTCTGGGTACCTATTGTCACCGATCTTTGGTCCAGTAATCGCAGGACATCAGGCAGCTCAGGAATTTAAGAAAATGGGTTTAAACAACATTGAAATAAATATAATAAAACAGTTATATGAAGGCATTCCATTCTCATGGAGAACTCTTTTGAATTATATGAAAATCCTTGTGATGATACCGAATTAAGTTTAGAATTTAGTATTAACGGAAATCCCCACTCTTTGCAAGGCATAACATCAAAATATATCTATAGTACATTGTTAAAGATGAGAATGCAACTTAGAACGTACATATGGTCGAAAATGACACGAGAGCAATTTTCTTAAGACCCCGAAAATCCACTCTGGACAGAAAGCTGAGGGAATTTCAATATAAAATGTTATACAAATAAGCATCTATACACTTTGAAACATGCAGTGAGCAATCTTTGCTCCTTTTGCAATAAACACGAAGAGACCTATGAACATCTATTTTTTATCTGTGAAAAAGTAGCAAATATTTGGAAGGACTGCGGTGACCTTTTTGCTTTATCAGTGTTAAAAAAATCTACATTGGCAAGAAATTCATATCGGGATAAAAAGATCCAATGCGGGAGAAGAACAACTGTTAAATCACATTAGTCTTTTAACAAAACATGTGATTTTGATATAGCTTGAGGTACCTGACTTTTACAAGCTAAGCTTTTCTTAAGGTCTCCTTGTCTTTCTATTTCATTAAAATGCATTTTATGAACTTGCTCCTTTTATGTACTATGTCTTAATGTTAAACATTTGTTAAATTGTATTACATTTATTTTTTATTTGTCTCCTCAATGACCTCGTAACTGTGAGGCCCCAGGATCAAAACCGTGTCGAAGTGCTATATTAGTGCCCTTTAGTGAGGCATTAATCCTATTTACTGTCAGTTATGACTTAAGGACGTAGGTCCCCTAGTTGATAAGCATAACTAGTATGCACATGCTTTAGCAGTCACACAAATTACAAACACTCGCAAATTAATATTCAATACAATCTGAGAATGTATACTATTATATAGATATTAGGAATAAATCATTGTCAAAATCATTCCATAAATTGCGGTAAAACAAAGTTATTCCACCTTTATGACCAACAGTGTAGTAAATTGTCTCATATATTATAAAAACAGACATATCTTATTTTTTTCTTCTTAAGTATCCGTACTAATATATTACATATTTGATCAAGTATACAAACTGTGATACAATTCTACAACTTTGGGAAAAAAATAGATTTTTCAATATAGCAAAAAGTAAAAGGTGACGGTAATACTTCATATTATTTTTTTCTCTAATACAACATTATAAAAAGGAACATTTTTTTTACAGTTACTGTATAAACATATCGTCGATGCAAATTTATTAGTTCAATATAAATTAAAGGTAATACAAAGTTTTGGTAATTTTTGAAAATTGGGTGGATAGTAATTCTTTACAATTTTTATATATATGGATGCCCCTGTGGATGAATTATAAGCACAACAATTTTTAGCCCCTAAAACACTTCTGCTTTTGAGAAAAATGGAATATAAAAATTTACCGGTGCTCCCGGTAAATTATAATAAATTTAAAATAGCGCCTACGGCCGTACAATAGTAGCTGCGACCATGAAAATCTCAGAATATGTAGTTGTGATATATAATTTCCAAACGGGAATAGCTAATCGGTTGATTTCAGTCAAGAAAAATTGTTTTATAGGTTAATTAATATCTTGACCTTGAGAGGGAGCTATAAAGCATAAAGAGTTGATTATTGACATTTTCATAACTTTAGACTCGATTGCAACCGCGACAATGATCACTAAATATTGTCGGATCGCATATGCTTCCAATATTTTTATTTGAACCAAATTCATGACCTCATACCAAAACTTTGTATTACCTTTAAGCAATCTGAATGAATATTTTCTTATATAAATACAAAAATAAAAGGTGAAGGTGTAAGGCTCTCAAGAAGGGAATCAAAGGCAACAAACGTGATTAACAAAAGACTTAACTCCGTTTCGTAGACAATCAGCCGTAAATGAAAAACTTCATGCACGGCTGATTGTCAACGAAACGGAGTTAAGTCTTTTGTCAATTTTGCTTGTTGCTACGGCAGGTAGCCAGTGAAAACGAATTCGTTTAATAAAATTATGGAAATGCAAGCACAGAACTGTGTCATTCCTTGCTCATTCTTCCTGATTGAGGTATCATATGAAAGGGCAGAAACTCAACTTTTTATAAATGTGATTTTCTCTTTGAAATTCAGATACCGTCCGTCAAATGTCTTTTTGGTTTTCTCTCTTCAAATTCATTTTAATCACTCATGCGTGAAATGTGCATCATATGAGTTGCATCAAATGAAAGAGGAGGATCTAAGCTTTCCAAATATGTGCAATTTATTAATTATAAATGTGACCCAGTATATGACGCACTATATATATAATCAGCCCCACTGGGATAAAGTTTCTCGTCTTTTATAATGTAATGGCAGATTGCCCTTTATTTTTACTTTTTTATATTCAACTTTTGTTTTAGTTCTCTACAGCTTTACATGTTGTTTTGTTAGTTGGAAACTTTCCAATTTGACCAATTTGACCAAAACCAATACATGATTTAACAATATGATTTAGCACTCTCGTTCCAAGTGCAATTTCTTGTCGACTGATTTAGCACTTTGAAGTGCGCTTATAATTGTAGATTTACCCCATCTACGGCAAGCTTTCCAAGATAATGCAACATTCCTTATCCCCGTAGGCCCGAATTCACAAAGGTGGTTTGTCGACAAACCTTGGTTTTCGTACGTCATATGACGCGTTTTTACGCGTTTTTTTTACAAACCTGGTTTGTAAAAACGCGTCGAAACGCGTAATATGACGCACGAAAACCAAGGTTTGTCGACAAACCACCTTTGTGAATTCGGGCCCTAGAGTTTTGTTTTCATGATTTATGTTGGCCTACTTATATGTACTTGAAGTTCGCAAATAAAGTTTAAGAAAGCACATTTGCGCGATGAAATAACAAAAACATCCACGAGTTATATCCTTCAGTTAGTTTACTTCTCTTGTTTTAGTTAATTAATGAAAAGTATTCAAAAATAGCCAATGATTATATAAACTTTTTAAAATGTGAGGTAGAAGGAGTAGACGAAACAATGACGTACGGGTAATTTCAATCAGATTATATTTTTCTTTTGCTCGTTAGATTTGTACGCATTATATGTTTAATTCATTCGTAAAGCCTACTCGCACAAGTTGCAATCTTAAGGTTTGAATTATTTAAGATAAAAAGTATTTTGTGAACTTTTTTTTATTTCATGTTGGCGCTTTTCTTCTTCTTCTTCTTCTTCTTCTGCTTTTCTCGTTATTCTTTCTTTGTTACATTTCTATTTCAACTACTCTCCAGTGTCTCAGCGATTATCAACAGACTATTTGAATTTTTAAACCTCACTTCTATCATCACATATAAAGTAAAACAACATGTGAAATTAAATATCTTTCAGATACATAATATATTTATTCAGTTAGATTTCCAAAACCTATCTCTTCATGAGCAGTTTTGCAATAATAATAATAATACATGTAGTAATGATACAAATAATAATAATGACAATAATATTATAAAACATTTGTTAAGCTTCTTTTCATAAAGCAGATACAAAGCACATGAACAAGATACATAATTCACCTGATTTAGAGTATTACATGTTAGTACAATCAACCACCAGCCTTTGTGTCAGTTTAAGCATACATGTCAAATTCAAATCCATTCAAGTCATAGACAGCGTTAATACCCTTTTCTTACTGCAAACAACCTAGATCATGTATTAGATTAATGTCCAAGTCACACCGACGAGACCGAACAAAAATGGCAAAGAATATGTCTGTTTGAAATCGGTTTGAAGTCACTTCGGCAGTGTGACTAAGGTATAAAACTGACTTCTCATAATTGTGCAGGGTAAAGGAAGTCTTACACATTACACACGTTCCTCACCAAACAAAAATCAAGATATAAGATTAATATGATTTATTTAGAGAAAATCTTTACCTTAAAGCTGTTATTCATGTTTTGAGAATCTTTGCTTAACGGCTCATAAATGTAATATCGGATGACTAAAACACATTTTTCATAATTTGATAACTCTTTAGTGCGTGTTAAAGGATATTTTTGGTTTGGTTATATTTTGTTATCTAAATATTGTGGTGATGTCTTAGAACCTGGAGTCTGAAACTTGTCCAAATCATCTGCAAATTAAATGTATTAAGCCCGCCCTAGTATTTGTTTTTTTAATAATTTATCTTGCTGCCTAAAAAGTGGTTTGTGTCACATCATTTCCAATATTATATAAAACGTTTATTACCCGATACTGCCATTGGCAATAAGTATCCTTAATTCTTTCGAAACTCCTCACTCATAGGATAATGCTTACGATATTTTAAACTATAGTGTCACGAAAAATATGAATCCTAAACTCTTGATCGTTTTTGGCTAGATCACAGCATTAACGGAACATACACAACATTTATGATTATCAGACAATGTCATAATAATTATTAAAAGAGACAACCGAATCTTATTACAATTCGGGTCACTGTATTTGAGAGCTTATCATTATGAATGTCATATTTATGTACTAAGCTTCAGATAAAGTTGAATTTTGAAAGATAAACGATTCCACTCAAGTCTATGGAAATATACTTTGGAGCATCGATGTAAGTTTTTGAACTTTATAAAACAACATGCTCTGGGTTCGAACCGCGTTCAGCGCTTACATCCTTAGACAACGATGAGGTCAAATAATTCTTAGGGTCCTCTGGAAAAGCAGTGTCAATACTGATAAGACTACCTTGGCTCAATAAGACCATATAAGTATCATTAGTTTCCTATAAATATATCGGTAGAAGATAATTTTTATCATGACTATTCATAAAATATTGAAAGTATGTCAAAAAAAGTAAATTCGAGTAAATATCCCACTTAAAGACCTCAATATCTATAGTGTTTTTAAAAGTTTTATTATGCAAAAGCACACTGGAAAATTAGTCAACAATTTGTCGAATTAGTATTAGTTGAATAACTCAAGGGACATTGAAAAAAGACTGAACTGTAATCCTTCTAACTTCATCCCTCCTCTCTTTCTCTCTCTCTTCCCCCTTTTTTGTTCTCTCTCTCTCTCTCTACTCATAATCTAGCCCTCATATTATATTCATTTACTCGCTCTCCTACTCTCTATGTTTACCGTTCCCCTTCTGGTCTGTAATACAAAAACTCGACGTAAAGATACTTATAATAAGTAGGCATATTGTTACTTCTTTAAGGCGTAATAATAAGCCTTCGTATTGCACTATGTAAGTAATTTCAATAAAGAAATTATTTTAAAAAACTCTCCGAAACTGCAAAAGTTATTTCAAACAAATCATGATATACTGGGTAACAGCAAGTTGAAATGTTTGACAATAAATACACAACGTTAATGATAGAAAATGAAATCCTGATTGTCAATTTTCTACCTCACACCAAATAATACCACAGGTATCTTCATAATCATTCCCCATGTGATAGACATCTGAAACAATGTAGTTTTGATTTGCTTTATTCTTGATGAATGTGTCACTGCTTTTAGTCCACGTAGATTGTCCTTCCAATCGACCTTCACCTCAGCCAATATAGAAAGCGTGATATAAAACCTGACTATGCTGTCAGCTGTCAGATTGATCTCAAATCATCCACGAAATTTAAAGAAACGATAGATTACTTCATTTTCGTTCGATACTGCTCGATAAAAACTGTGGTTGCGTATAGTTAAACAGATGAAAGTCTACTTCATATATTCTCCAAAGCTCTCTGAGTTCGTTGATGGTGATCGTTCCAAAGGCATCATAGAACTCGGCGGAATCTCGACGAGTTGGAACCGTCGATTTCGGATAGTAAATACGCTCGTCCCTAATTTGAAATCGGCGTAATAGTCGCGTACTGTCCTCATGAACCGTCTCCAGCTTTCCTATGTAGTCATAGCTGATGGAACACGGCGCACAGAGTGAGTTCGTTGACTGCCAGTGCTCATTCAGTTGCATGGGATCTTCTGTATTGATAATAAATCGTATGAATTCTGTCCATCGGACACCTTCCCCAGCCTGGATAGTCTCGCGTGACACACTCTTCCGGTACCGCGACATGATGTCCGCAGCAATGTTCTTGAAGTAGTAGCTATGACGCTCACAGTCAAGGTTCCTGATCCCCATGAACTTATCCTTATAGGCTGACAGGAGCCGAACAAAGGGGTCTCGGGTAAAGAGAAACTTGGTGTAGTGCGAGAGAATATGCTTGCGTTCAGACTCAGGGTACTCTATCAAGGTTTTAAGGTTGCTATGGTGGGCTTCATCACGAGAAATACGGGTGACATCAAGCGAGGAGTTTTCGATGGCCATCAAGATTCGCTTCCAGTTCGTACAACCAGCTTTAGGAACTGAACAGTAGACAAACTTGTATTTATCGTTAACGTACAAGTGTTTGAGGGTTTCGTTGTGGATGTGGTGGGGATGGTTCATTGGCAAGGCTTTGTGGCACATGTTGCTCAGGTGTTGCTTACGACGAGGTTGGATTGCGGCAAGACTTTCAGTGTACTTTGGGTATTCCAAATCCTGTAAATAAATACAACCAAATGTTATTTTCTAGTATGTTATTTCAGTTCCTTTTACATCTAATCTTGGCATCCAAGAATTTTGCTAAATGTCTAGTGATGTGTAATAGTGGATGGCAATTATCAAATTTTGAGGAAAACTGTTTCATTCAATTTCTTCGATAGATAAAAAGCTTAAGCGTCAATTTGACCACCCTGAATTTAAACAAAGACATTAGAAATAAAGATCTACCCAAATATGTCTTTTTGTTCTTTTAGCAGTTTCGAGTATCTGAATTTTAGTGTTTTTAACATGCTCGATAGATCCTATATACACAAACAAAATCGTAACGCAAAGTGAATGCAATTTTTTTCACTACCGTCACTTCGTGAAAACATCGACGAATGTGTCGGGGCTGGTCGGAGATTGTCAGAGACCATTTAGATCCGGACAAATTAAACATTAAATCAACTCCCCCCCCCCCCTTCCCCCTCTCCACCGTCCAATCTTTTCAGTGTAATTGAGGCGTTAACCCACAGGCAGTTGATATTCTCGTGGGCGGGTACATTTCTCGCCTTTATGCACTCTAACAAATATTGGGCAAAAAATTGCCCACTTTTTACCCAACATGAGGGCGATTATGTGTCCAACCACCTGTTGGGTAAATTAAAGATTTTACATGATTTACCCAGTGTTGGATAAAAAGAAAATAGGCTTTTAACTAACAAAAATTTACCCAATCAGAAATTCACCCAATTTTCACCATAGTGTATAGCATAAGTTACACACTAGTTTGGCAAATAAGTTGGATAAAATATTATATGCAACAGGCTATTAGTGCCGCGGCGAGACTCGAACCGCGGACCTCCTGTGACATATCAACTCGACCACGACACTTCTTAAAAAAGAACATAACCTTAATGTTGTATAATAATGTTGCCCGACTTACGTTTGCCCAGTTACATCTGCCCAACTTATTTTGAACATTTAATATTAATAATAATCTTTTAATTGGGTAAATACATGTAGTAAATGGTTGAGAGAAACTAACCCAAATGTTGGACAAAAATGGCCCAACTCTTCAATTCATTCAATTCAATTCAATAATGGTTTTATTAAAAAAACAATGCCTCGCAGCCAAAATGCTGAATTGTGCATGTTTACATGTATACATGAGCTTCATTACATAACATTATATTTCATTTGTTACAATCATTCATTCAAACAGTATTGGTAACAATTAACAGTATTCATGTGTAGCATTTAAAACCAATCACTATATATTATTTACATTTTTAAAATCTATTAAACTTCACAATAGTAATAACAACAATTAATCAAAAGCAATACAATACATAACATACAAATAAGTAAAAAGCTAATACTGAAATTATTGCACCTGTGTCTTTAACATTAAAAGTCAGCAAAATGTTGCTCTATGTTGCCTGTTCATCAACGGTAAGTACATAATTATAAATTGATGTCTCTGTAAAAAGATAAATATATTCCAGAGTGGGTTGTAAAACATGGTTTCCTACATTAAAACTAAATCATTTTTAGTAATTTTCCCAATGACATTACCTCACCTATTTTTTACCTTTCATTGGGTAACTTCATATAGTAAACGGTTGGGAGAAAATAACCCAATTATTGGACAAAATTTCCCCAACTTCGATTTACCCAGTAACATCTGCCCAACTTTGTTTTACAGTATGGGCAGAATGAAGAGAGTCTGAGGATGACGGCCTAGCTTACCCCTCGTTTGATATGCATCCATGGTGGTGTCTCCTCCTGTTTAACGGTCACGAGACCGCCTTCATCTTCTCTCCGTAGACGAGCCTCTTCAAGAAATTCCGTTCTCCAGTTTGACTCGTGGCATACACACTTTGTCATCGACGTAACAGATACTGGGCAGGAGTAAAAGGTGTTATCGAATATATAAATGCATTAATTTGTCTGAATCTGCACGGTAATAAATTGTAGGGCGTCTCGACATGCAGGGACGACCGCCACTAATTTCGTTACAGCCCACGAAGCCAACGAGACCGTCCCTCGAATAGGACGTAAAATGGAGGTCCCGTGTAGTCACTACCTTTGAACCCACTGCACTATTCGTACAAGAGTAGGGGGGAACCCCGGTAGTGGTCCACCTGCACACACCCCAGTATAGTACGATAATTCTCTATAAAGAGGTATGTACTCAAAGTGGAAGAATGAGCCTTCTATGAATAGTTTTCTGACGGTTTATGAGACCGAAGGGCATTCGAGACCGACAGCCCATGAGATTTTTCAGAGGGAAACCAACAATATCGACCTCCCGACCTGTTGGTCTATCATTATGTTCAAAGCTGTAGACAAATTTAATTTGATGAATTGTATTATTAATTGTTTCGGTATATATCTTATTTGAGAGACGCATAACAGAATTCTGCAGATATACAAGTTGTCAGAAACTTTTTAAAAAAATTGTTAATGTACTTGACAGATTAAACGATTATAAATTTTACATAAATTAACAGATCGTGTTATAGCACAGACATCAAATTAAGAATCAGTTCATCTCTTAATGATATATGGTTCTTAATTCAACGTGTTCGTGAGAAATGAAGAATAATTTTAATAAATATTTACCATTTCTGTTTGAGAGTTCAATGGAGAGCAGAAGAGAGATGGTGGCGCTGCATGTGATAACAGCTAGAATGGTGATCAAGTTGTGATGGCGACTTACTGGGGCCATGATCTCATCACAGCGTCATCAAAGATGTCACTGAAACAAAAACAAATGATCAATTTACCAATGATGTAGGATGCTTGTATTGTAGGCATGTTTAGGTCACGATTAAAGTAAGAGAACCACGGTAGAATCAAGGATCATTCTGTAGTCATCGGACTTCTGATTTAGTGTGAAGGATCTTACGTAAACATAATCATTAAGACAAGTTAGGGTGCATTTATAGCTTAACTGTGAAGCCTGTATCAGTATTTTGAAACACACTTTTGGAACAGTTTTGAAACGCTGTTTCACGGTACCCTGCTTATTTCTCTTTTTCCTCTTCAGGCAAAACTATGCTATGTTCTTTTACCCTTACTTGTGTCTGCTGAAAGGCCCTAGGCGTCACTCTATTTTGAACAAAACGCGTATCAAATTACTGACTTTTACCCGGAAGAGATATCCTGCCATTGATCAGTAAATGTTCGCTCATGAATGCAACCTGAGTGAAAAAAAGGTACATAAATTCTAAGCAATTGAAGCACATTCAAATAACATTAACAGCGGATTTCATTTCATTTCTTTATTGCGTCCATATATAGGATAATTGTTTACAATGGCCTACGCAGGATTTTTTCAAGGGGGGGGGGGGGTTTAAAATTGGGCCAAAAATTTCGCAACGACTCAGCCAGCCGCTGAATAAGCGGGGGGGGGGGGGGGGTAAGAGGACATTTTTTTTTGGTTTTGAAATTTGAAAAATTGACATTTTGGTGGGTGGGGGGTTTCCATAAAAACATTAAAAAAAAAAAACTCAAGGGGGGGTTTAACCCCAACCCTCCCCCCCCCCCTGCGTACGCTCCTGATTGTTTATATTTACAAGAGCAATCTTTCTTCAACATAATAGGAACAACATATAATTGACATGATAACCCGGATAGGGATTCAAGTTGCCCGTCTAATTACTCTTTGCAATTAAACAACTAGCCCCTAGTTAACGGTTTCCCATGTGAATCATGGACGACATCTCAGCTCATCAGCGACTGTGATTGGACAACTACCTTTTGGCGTCTACAAATTCCCGGATAGGATTGGATTAGGTATAAATTCAACTCTACGAAGCACACAAATTAACGACACTAATTTAGACATGTCAAAAGAGTAGAATATCGACTTCGTGTTTAACCATACCGAACAATGACCCCACTGGTTATCAATCAATGTGGATTAAAGCTTATAAGAGTATAGTTTAAGTCATGCGTTGCAAACCACGTTGCTTGGTTTCCAAATCTTATTACCTATAATAACATTATTGGTTCCGCTTTGTTTTGCCAGTTTGCTTCAGCAGCTTTATGAATACATCGGAAGTTTAAAGTAACTCGGTAACATTGTTGAAGGTTGATGAAATGCTACTTTTTATATTCCTTCTACTGTACTTACTCTCAGGTAAAAAAATCCCGAGAAAATTCTCAAACCACAAAGACATTTAGGGTTAGATTTGAAGGCGTCACTGTGCAACACCCTCTAAAAGTGATTAACAGTAAATTCTCCCAACCATTTTTGAATTTTCCTTGAAAATAAGACATAAGAAAGGCTTTTAAAAATCTTTCAACACTGAAATGTCTGGAATGGTATATAGAGCCAATTCATTGCTTTGTGACGATTTACATTTACTTAAAATGTAATTAAATTGTAATAATATAGTTGGGAGAATTAAGAAATCGATCAGATCAGTTTTCCCAAATTTATATCATTAATAATGATCCGTTTTCACTCAAACGTTCAGGTTATTGTACATCTAGCATTGAATTTATGAACAATGCTAACAAGTCCCTTTAACTATAAAAGAAACTTGTGTAAATGTTTTGGGTTTTGGAGGTCGGTTTTGTTAAGACACTGTTTTCTCGGTTAGTGCAGGCAGGGAGGCCAACTCCCTGGTGCAGGATATGGAACACGTAGTCATCCGAGCATGTATCTTAATCCCTGCAATAATGGAGGAACATGCATGAATGGTCCTACAGATAACCATCACAATATGGACGCTATTATACACAAAATTTTCTTAACTCTTCTTGCTTGACTTGCGACGGGATTTTTCAAGGATTATGAGGGGGGGGGGGAGGGGGGTAGCTTTTAATAAGATTTTCTGTCTGCTCGCTAATCCGCCAACACTTTAAATATGAAGGTGTTGTTGTTAATGTTTATTTTCTATTTGTTTCTTGTATGTTTTGATGTTCTGTATTTATGAACGTGTTCAATGAAAAAGAACTGAACTGAAGTAAACCCAAAGCCCTTTTAAAAGTAACACGCTGGACATAATCCTAGCAATTATGATGATCAAACTTTAACGTAGCTTATCATGAAAATGGTGATTATAATATCATATTCTTGAGGAAATTCATTGAGGTTAACTGCTTTTCAGTATACTATCTTTTCTTTACTGTTTTTCTTTGTTTGTTTGTTGCAAGTGAACATAAAAGAAGGGGTTGGTATACACTGTTGTGTCGAAAACATAGTATGTTGAAAGTGGTCCTGTCTTATTAAAGGTATCGTTTAACAATGTTAAATCTGCGATGCATGGCCCTACTTGTCATCAGTGTCTGTGATATGGTGTATTAATATTAAAGCCCTACAAAGATTGCGCTTCAAAATTATCAAGAAGTGCCTCAAAAAAGTAAAAAACTTTAAGTGACTGGTTTTTACATTACTCATTTTCTCCAATAGACTGTAGCGTTATTAAAAGAACAACGTTAGGATAACGAATTCTGACATTTCTAATTCTAATCATAGATATCTTGATAATCAGACATGCGATTGGCTTGTAAAAGTCATGGGATTCATGTATGACATTAAGGTTTATGATTATGATTGCAGCATGAGCTAAATCTAGGATTATAATCGGAGACAAAGTTACCTGGGGAGAGGTGAAAAATAATTTGTGAATGTTATCATTGTTATTAAGTGTGGAAGAGCATCAGAGAAAAAGCGTTCCCTGAAAAGCATGGCTCTTCAAATGCCTTCATATTCTAAATAGTAACAGCTTAAAAATGAGGCCCGATTTTGATGCCAAATGTTTGTGTAGTCCCATATTCATCGTTTTCTGTACAGTGCTTGTTACTTTACTAACACTGGGCCAAATTTCTTATCATTTTGATGACTCCAGAACCTTGCAGTACACACCAATACTTATATGCTACATGATCAACTTTTTCTGATCGATTCCACACCTTTCTTTCACAATGCAATTGCATGACACCTTACCAGAATTCAACTTTATCTTTAAGTGTTGCGACTGATCAAAATCGATTACAGGTCCTTCAATCAATCACGCACTTTAACAATCGTATTATATGAAGAGCGACTCGTGGTGAGTTGTGGTCACACGATTAATCACGTACAATGAGACAGGCCCTGGGCATGGTGTATTGTTTGTTGTAAGAAAGACTTTAAACAAGGAAATAGATCGAAGTAATCTAGAAAGACCTCCTATAGTAAGTATTGATAAAGACAAAGCATCGGTTAATCAGCTTTCATTTTTTTTCTTCAAAATTAAACCGACACAACGGCCATGCTGAATAAAAAAAAAAACTTCCAAATACGAAGAACAAACAAACAATTTCCGAAGAATGCGAGGGTCTTTCGGCAAATTTCCATTTCCCAGTTCATCCCCAAGGATTCCGTTGTACTGTTTCAAGAATATCAACATTCCGGTTTCAGACTTAGACAAAACAATGAATATATCTATTAATCCTCTCATGATTAATTTAGTATTAATGACAAGCTTTTGGTATAATCATAATTGTTTATATCATGATAATTATGATGACCTACAGTTTAACAGAGCAATGCTTTCCTTACATGTTAAACTGCTAATAAACTTTACATTACATACACACAAAAAATAATTCTTTAAAAACACGATCGCGACTTTTTTTTCTCGAAAAATCAACTCAAGGGCCAATTTAATATCCTGTTTATATGTCCCACAGAAATCATGTTCAGATTACGTAATACGTCTTTGTCATTTTTGCTCATTTCACTAGGTGACGCACATGACTATTGAAATTGCCTTATATAGGTTGATTTTACGAAAGTTGTAACTATCGTGTTTACTTGTCATCAACAACATGCAGTCAAACTAAGCCTTAAAAAAAAAACTTACCCGCTTCCTTTTCAGATAATGCATAATTCCAAAGAACTAAAGTAGGACGACGTTATAAGAGACTCCGTAACTACTTAGCTCTTAGTAAACGGATTAACTTTTCAAACGTTTGAGTGTAATTCGAGTTTGTCATCTATACATCCATCCCCAATCATATTCTTGATCCCGCCCGTATGATATTAGATTAGAACTCGAAAGAGAATGTGATGCATGTCTCCAAAGAAGCAAGGCGTTTGTGTACATGTAGACGTGCATCCTTTAAATCTTTTCAAAGGAGGTGAAAGGATGCAATCCAATGTATAGCCTTAATTCTATAGTACATTTAAAATCGATTATTGCGTCGAGTCAATTTACCGTTTATTCAAACCGTTGTGAACTAGCTTGTAGTACGTCTGTACTGACAAAGCCCACATATCTATAATCAATGTGAAGCATTATTGTGATGGCCACCGTGTGGTACAGGTGGGTATTTAACACAAGCAGCCCTTGGTTTGTATATCATAATGGACAGCACGTACTGTAAAGCTCTTTCGATCTGTTCAATTCAAAACAAAATAAAGGTGCTCTTCCATCGGCTCATAACAGACAAAACCCTGGATGTACTTGTTTTGCTTCCTCATTTCATTTGATCTAAATTACCAAACATAAAGTAACCGATATAACCTGATGACATGTGCACGGCATGGTTGATAATCATGCAAATATAAATAAACTTACAATCAATAAATGTACAACTTGACTTGGATCATTAACAATTATCAACTAACAATACGTACGTACATTTCCCATAATGTACAGAAAATTGCATAACTCGACATTTTTCTATTACCAAATACTTGAACAGAACAAGACAAAAAGCAAGAAATAATGTTTGAAATGCAGAGGCTGACAAGGAAGCAAAAGGCTTGTAAACTGAAGGCCCCTGGGGAAAGGTGAAAAAGGTAGTTTGAGATAAACCGTTACATCACTTTACATCACATTACTTACTATCCCCCTCGACCATAATGCTACAATGATGCTGCGTGTCAAACTACATATAACTATCAAGAATGCAAGAAAGGGAGGGGCTACATAACACTATTGGCAAATAGAACTTCCAGCGTCAAGCAGCCTTATAACAGTTGTAGAATTAACACTTTTATGTTGTTGTGATGCTGAGGCAGATAGGTCCTCTTAGTAAAGGCGTGGTTGCTCATTCAGCCAAGATTATGCCGAACTGCATTAAGGTCATGTGAGATAATGTTTGTCAAACGAATTAGATCCATGAAAAACATTCTCTTGACGAAACGGAATCCATCTCGCTTACGACAGAATGCATAAAGCATATTATATTCAAGTATTCTCAATCATGAACATCATCATTTAAGTCGTCATCACTAGCCAATAAATTGAATACTCATAAACAGGAAAAGGATTATGAATATTACGCCATCCCGGGGAAATGCTTATCTCTTGTTTGGCTTCCTTTAGTACCACTATGCGATTTTGTCGTATTGGTGGGGGATGAATGCATATACAACAGTACAACATATTATGCAACAACCTGCCTTGAGGTAGCTACGAATGCATTTTGCTAAATCAATATGAAAATGTTTGTTCATGTTTACGTAATTAAAAAGATTCAGTAGTGATGTAACTTTTAAGGACAAACACAAATTCTGTCAAACACAACTAAACTATAAGTTATTCCTTCATTTACTTGAAAGTTCTGTACTTTTTTTTTTTTTATAGAGGTGAACTTACAATGCTTCAATGAATGCTTCTTAACAATCACTATGAATATGACTGACAAAGAAAGCGGACAAAATATACAGTTCCTCAGGTAGATAAAGGAACATCCCTTCACTGCTATTATGTAAAAATGTGTAAAACAGGTGCCACATGCATTTTCATTTTTCACATAATAGCAGTGAAGTGATGTTCCTTTGTCTACCTGAGGAACTGTATATTTCGTCCGCTTTCTTTGTCTGTCATATTCATAGTGAATGACACCTTTTTTTAAGTGGCTGATAAGCATCTTTAAAATGGAACTCGGTATGTTGAATCGGAGATCTTATAACCTGAATTACCTGAATTACATATGATGACACCCGGTAAGTCTAATGACTTGTAGAGGGCCATTCGACAGGTCTGTTTTTGATAATATAAAGCTCATCAATTGAACAATGAATTAAAATCAATGATCTGTATTATTGAAACTGTCCACGGGAGTCTTATCATGGATTAAGCTATCTGACAACATAATGTAATGTTATTGAATAGGTCCATTTCCATCTGGACTTTTCATTCTATACCGTGAATCGATATCAGTCAGTTCCATGTCAATGCATTAATGTGTTGAGTGCCAACAGAGCATGCTAAAAGAAGACTCTTTTCTTCATCTAAAGATCTTGCTAAACATGTAAGGAACAGCTCAAATTTAATCTAAAAAACTATGAGTGAAATAAATTTGTGGAAGCAAGCATGTAGGAATGAAGCCGTTACTATCACGAATATCTAACTTGATATCAGCCCGATATCAGTCCGCTTTCTAGTCATAGAAAGCGTTCATGTGAACGATGTCTGCTATAAAGTATATCAACGATTCATGTTTTTGTTGACACATAAAGTGAACTTCGGCCCTGCCCCCTAACGGCTTTGTTAGCAAACGTAAAAACAAACAGTTACCAAGAAGAAGGAACATGAGGAACCGCTTCGGACGCCATACATGGTGCAATACTCGCATTTAACTTTATAGGTAATGTGAACAATAGTAGGTTTTATGGGAAGTACCTAAGTATAGATAGAAAGAAGTTTTTATCAGTCATTTCAAGTGATTCGATAGAGAAATCACACAAGTGTCATGTAAGTGGATCCAATACCAACAATAGGTAAATAACTTGAGAGAGAGGGGGAGGGAGAGAGAGAGAGAGAGAGAGAGAGAGAGAGAGAGAGGGAGGGAGGGAGAGAGAGAGAGAGAGAGAGAGAGAGAGAGAGAAAGAGGGAGGGAGGGGTCTCAATGGTCACAACCTATTGTCATGATCGTGTGTATACCTGAGTAACATTAAAGCAGATATATAGAAACGATATCATGGCTCCCTATATAGGGTGTTTAATAGGACTACTTATAAAATACGAACCGCACATTTCGAACCATTTCTTTGATAATTAATATGCACTCCAAGAACAAAATATCTTTTACTGATAAAATGCAAAATTTACGAACACAATTTTACTAATTTCCTTGTGTTCGATTACTTTCTATACATTTCTTATTCTTCTGGGAGGGGGTCATGAGTGACTGTTCAAACATCCATAATGCTTTAGGAGGTAACATTTCAGCACAGAGAACTTATATTTTGCATGTTTATTCATGTTGATGAGGTTAGATGATTCATGGCTGAAGGCATGCAGGTCCTTCACGTTATAAAGTAATTATCTTTCATGCCTTGTAAACGATAGTGATGTGATTGACGAGTTAAGCCCTTTTCAGGGATAATGAATGTTTGCGTTTCACTTGCAATACCCCTTGCATGTCAACAACAAATTAATAAATCTGATATTCTTACAATCAACTTCCAAGTAGCCTATAATTTGATTTTCTAGAAATTCTCGAGTGATTGTTTGTAACATCAATCATCATAGTACTTTACTTCATTTGTGAGGAGACGCTAGCTTTAGCTCGGAGGTAGAGCATTGGTCTCCTAACTGGAAGGTCCAAGGTTCGAAATCGAGTCGATACGCTTGTGTCCTTTGGTAAGGCAGAGGACTTATATCCATTTGCCCCTGGTTGCTTAGCAGTCAGGTAAAAACAAACCAATCAAACCATCGACAATCAACACACATATATAATTATATATATATGTATATCTATAAAAATCAAGAGAATATCATTAGAAACAATTTTGAGTATATTTTTGCGTATTACATTGAAGCATAATCATGCACGTACTCATATCTTACACCACTTGAAACGACCTCTCCTGATGGGTATTTAGTTAAACATTTTTCGGGGAGGGGGTGGGGTGTTTGTTTCTAATTCATTTGTTTTTTCTTCTTCAGATTTTCCTTCAAACATGAACGCGGATTTCGTCAAAACAGCTTTCTTGATGGGTATTAAGTCTAACAGAAGATCCTTGACACATAATTGCGAAATTCGTCAATTATACCGCCTATCTTACAAAAACAATATAGCATATACGTGAGGCATAACAGGTATCAATTGAAGGTAGGAAATAGGAAATAGTTCTCAACGACGGATAGGATTAGTATTATCCTACGATGAATAGTTGAGAGTGTGGAGAACTTTCTAAAACTGTTTAATAAAACGATTAGTACCCCATAGTTGGGGCGCTTCACAAGGCTCATCCCCGCATTGAAAAATACGAATTAAAACACTGTAGGCTCTGTGCAAAGTACAAATGTAAACAGTATAGCGTCTTTCAGAATGGACCACAGTACCGTGTGCTAGCAGTGAGTAATACAATTAGGCAATTTCAGGCTACTTTGGGCCGTTTTATAGCCAATTTGATGTCAGTAACTATGACAGAACGTGTAATTTTCCTTGAAATCGATTTGGCTCTAACACGTTATAATGAGCTATGAACTAAATACAATCATAAAGTATGGTAAAATGTTTTGATCTGATTTAGTCGGTAATGATTTAGAAAAATAATGTGGCTAACGACTGAAGAATACAATCATATTCAAATATTTTTTAAACCCCATCAAAATCCTATTTTCTTTCAGAAGCCTCCAGTTTACATGATTGAGTAATTGTTATAACAATTGTAAAATCCTTACGGACTTTAATTTTGAATAAGCTTTAATATCAACATCAATGATTATTGCAAGCTGCTGAACCAAAAACCAATTGTTAAAGCTATACACCAGTTGACTCATAATATGCTGCATGAAAGAGTGTAAAATATTTAAAGACAACAAGAATACCGAAAATTGCAGAGTAATATACGTCTGCATGATCCAGAGAAGATACCATGAGAGAGACCTTAACCCACTGTCTACTGGAACCGGGTGCTCCCTGTATGTAGCCTATGGGAATGAGAGAATTCAGGAGTCAGCAGGTTAATACTTACTCATTGAGTGGTCCATTCATTACTCGGCTGATTGCATGTCCAACATCATGACGCGATGAAGATGATCACAAACATGTTCAAGAACAAAGAAGTTTTGAAGGGCGCGACTTCGTAGTTTTTGAAAGGGCTCCTTCAAATAAATGAAGTCTTGTCAACCAAACCAAACGTTGTACAGTGTCATACCCGTCTAGAGATGGTGTGCCTTGGTAAATTCAGTTCTCCAACCAAAGCAATGGCTAAGGCTCCAAGGGAATGTTTAGAGCTCTTCGGGGTTGAATTGCAGATATTTTATGAATGGAAAAGAAGAGCAGAGACTGTCAGCTTTTGTGCGATTTCCTTTTAACCAACCGTTATTCAACTTCAGTTCGGTATGGAGACTGAAAAGACGAGAGTGTTTTGTCTGCTCTTATCGACGATAACCAGGTTTCTGATGAGAAGATGTAGGAATGCTCTTCGACCGGCGGAGCATGCTTTTCCCTCTGAACATTTATCGCTGGTGCACCGGGGTTTTATATACCTTCGCGAGGGGAGCAGATAGCAAACAATGAACGGTGCTCGTTACTCTCACTGATCTCAATATTCATGATCGAATCCCATTGTATACGTTTTAGGTTCGACAGGGTTTCGAGTGGGGAGACACGCTTAACAACCCGCCCCTCCACTCAGGTCTTTGTGGCACATGGTTGATGGTTGAGCTTTCAAGTTGAGATGTTTTCTGCTCTCAGAAAGTTCAATTTGTGTTGTTGTTGTTGTTTACATCCCTACACACTAAGACGGTTTAAAACAGATATACAATAACAACCCCTACTAACCCCTACAAAGGGAGTAAGTTTAAAACTAAAACATGCACAAGAGGAAATGGTACAATATTTAACACGAATAGGTGCTGATCTGCAAGTAATGTTTGTATATTTCACATCGAATAATAAGCTTAGCAATAATTGATCGTAAGAATGGATTTTGCGATAAGTTATGGTGATCAATGCAATCATTCGCACAAGTCAATCGTGCCAGCAAAATTAGGGATTTTTAGATTTGCGTGGACTGAAACGTGTGACGTCCATTCAAGGCAGTGCATTAAAAGGACGTCGATCGTAGCAATCCACGTTGTCGTTCGACAAATCTAAAAGTCCCTAACATTGCTAATCTATATTTCCGGTCCCCAGGACGGCGTTACAGGTGGGAATTAAGTGCGATCGCCTACTGTTTTTCCACCACATAGGTATATATGCCCGCAAAATTTGGGAACCCTTGTGGGATTTTTTTCTCGCTAGAGATTTTAGAGACATATAACGCTTCAGAAAAAAAAATTGAGACCCCCCCCCCCATCCATTTTGTGAGTGTGTATGCCTCGCCCCCTAATAGAATATGCAATCCATGACTTATATAAGATTCACACAGGACAGGGTACTATTGGACCGGTTTGGGGGTACTGATTCAAACTTTTATACCAGTACAGGGTACTATAGTGTTCCTACTGTGTCAACTTGGGTGGAAAACCGGATGAATCTGTATAGCTTGTATGTGACCTGATACCTACCAAGTAAATCAAAGAGCGGATGCCTATAATACCAATTTTGCATTTCTGCTAAATAGGTAGTATGTCCCATTTGCAGGCCAAACAAAATGAACAGGTTAAATTTCAACGGCATTTGAAAGATAATACTAACTTAGAACTTCCCTCAAAAACGAAAGGGCTTGAAAATTGCTTTTAGTGGGATAATAACGACCATTAGTTGTCGAATCGACTCTAGTGATTGCAATCACTAAAGTAATAGTCTGATTTTCAGACCCTTGTACCGAATGGTCGTACGTTTTGTGCTGCTCAAAGATTCAATCAGATTAATTTTGGCCATTACAAGAATCGGGTTATTGATGTAGACAAAAGCTCATGTACCCTTCATAGCTCATTGTATGTTATTACCAAAGAAATAAAAAGAAGTCAGTCAGTAGTGTCTGAGAGTGAAGTCTAGAAAGTAAACGGATTTCCTTGCATAATTTGAAGACACTGCTAACGTTTCAATTCCACAGATAGGACACATGTAACATGTTTATAATTCCTGCAAAATTCTACAGAATTTGATTCTGCTGCAAATCAAGCAAGATTAGTGACGACAATTCGGGAAAACGGGAAGGGGAAGGTGACGATCTCATTTCCGCTAGAAGGGCTAACGCCTCTTGCCCGAAATCCAACGTCTATATTTTGCGAGGGAGCGAAGCCATCAACCGAAATCAAGATATGTGAAAATGTTTTTTCGTCATAGATACATTGAATAAGATACATATAAAAATAAATACGTATTCTGAAACCTCATTTTCAGTATATGAGGTGATGGTAGCTCAAGTATATTATACAAAATGTATATTTACAGGATTGGCGGGGGCTGCATACCCATGTCCGGTACCGTCCACCAATGGTCAAGATGTGATCTTCATGTTGATCCAGGCCATTTACTGGGAAAATGTAACTATTAGTTTTAACTATCAAAGACATACCTATTTCAGATTGCTTACAATAAGTCACTGCAGTTTTGTCTTTCCCAGTTAGAATCATGAACAACCAATTTTGGTAGATTTTCAGTCTCATCAGCGCCTTTGATTAGGCATCTAGATATTGGCGCTTTATAAACTTCTGGATTGGTCATTTTTTTCAAAGTAGTTTTTTATCATAAAAGAAAACCATCAGAAACCTTATTTTTATAGGGAGATGTGAGTTGTTCTAGGATTATAATGTTCTTGGGACGATTAGCTCTCTGTCTTTGCCTACAAACTAACTCAGCGGTTCGAGATTGCGTCTTCCGGTCCCCACACGTATATAATCATATCTGATTGATACAATTCTGTTAATAAAAATTTAATAAATGACACAAAAACACAATACTTATTTTTCTCTCCATATTAATGGTGGAATCAGACTTTAAAAAATTAGTTTCATATGAAGTGGATGTCTGGATGACACACCCTTGACAGTTTGTTCTCTCCTACCCTGGAGTGTGGCATGATCTCTGGTAGGAAAGGCACTTTGGACCGTGGCAGATTTGTCTGGTGTCAAGTTTTCCAATAAAGTCACGCTTCGGGAGAAATAGACTCAGTCTTGCCAAGGTATTTTAAAAGATGGAGTCATGTTGTTATTATTTGGCTTAATTTGTCTTACGAAAGAGAAATCAAAACATTCCCCCCAAATGTGTCATGATAATAAAATATCTAACAATTTCTCATTTGCATTATATTTTAGGTACTCTTAGAATGTGATTTTCCTTGCATAAATGATATTGATTTGGAAAGCTCCTGTATTGCAGACCATGTGTAGTCAGAACTATACATCTTAGGTATCGCAAAGAGAAAATCTGGGTTGTCTTTGAAACACTTTCCCCCTATATACATTGACCCTAGCTTAATACATTTTAAACCATGTTAAAACATGGCTAAGCTGTAAGCGATAAAGCGAAGATATATTCCTGTCAAGTATTATCATGATTAATATCTAGTATTAGCAGCATAATTGATAATAATTTCCCCAAAGATAAAATTTGTAATTAGTGGCAACCACTAGAGGCACATTTATTTATTATAAAATTAGGCCCCATACCGTTAACATTACCTTGTCGTTGAAGTGTGATAGGATATAATATATAAGAACAAAATATAGAGACCATTTTGCTGTCTGAATGAAATGTTGATATTCGAATACTTCTTGATAAATCATCAATGTTCTCACGTTACTGTTACAACCCTTTGTACGAAGATGCACATTAAAGTAATACAATGAACAATAACATAGACCTAGGTTTCTGAATGCATTTGGGTGAAAATAACGGTAGAAGAAGTAACTTTTGAAATATTTACAAACAGTGGGAGGTAAGGGTTTCAAATGAAAGCTTTCATTTATATACTCACAAAGCAGCTCACCACACTCAATATTATATACATGTAACACGAGGAAATAATATGTCACAAGGGACAACTTTCCTTCCTATTTTATTGTTATTGTATTTAAAGGAATTAATGTCCTTAGGTTACATCGTATACACGTTGACAATCTTTGTCTTGTTTCAGGAAACAGTGTGAATTCAGTGTTTTTATTTGCCTTTAGATTAAGAAAGGAATGTATTCATCTTCGAAGTGTGGACCAAACAAGACAATGTTTAATCACTGGGTGGAATAATAGACGTACCGTATTATTCTTGAAGTTTGACAAATAAGATGTAGCCAAGTATTCGGGATTGGTACTTCATTTATTTATAGAATTTGACGCATTTATCTTGCTTACCGGCATATGGAAATACGTCTTGGCACGTATACGCCTGTCATTATATAAAAAAAGTGTATAACCCAACCTCCTATAGGTTGATTTTGTACGGTATTCTTAATTTTTCTTTGTACATCAACATCATTTATGATTTGATTGCTGACGTCATCGTCTACTTTACTATTACATCTCGAATCGAGTACCGTCATATTCGCTCGTCGTCCTGGTTACTAGTTTTAAACAAGATAACCGGCGCACGAGGTTCACCGCGAAATGATTCAAGCAACAGGCTGGAGCAGGGCAAATTCAGAGTTTGGGACTTGATGTGATCGCCACGCCAGTGTTTAGCACACAATTGTTAGGAAACGGCAACCATGAAAACTTGGTCACTATGACCTGTATAAAGTGTAATTCAAGGTCAACTATTATACACCGAATACTTATGCCCCGGACAACTACACCTTAGAAAAGGACACCAAGGGTAAATCTCCGATAACTACCCTTTGGTGATCTTTACGTAATAATGGTAATAGTTCGAGATGCTTTGTTCGTGATAATCGTGGGAAATTTAGTTTTGAAAAAATGATGTGCCAGAGTGCGTTATCCATGTGGGTGATATCTATGGTGGCTCCTAAGGGACACGCAAACGCAAAATTTGACGTATACCTATGCAACAAATTTGTGGATTTTCACGTCAAAGACGTGAAAATCCACAAATTTGACGTATACCTTTGCAACAAATTTGTGGATTTTTACGTCGAAGACGTGAAAATCCACAAATTTGACGTATACCTATGCAACAAATTTGTGGATTTTTACGTCAAAGACGTGAAAATCCACAAATTTGACGTATACCTTTGCTTGGTAATTTTTTCGTTTTTCTTTACTCAATGGCCCTGAAGGGACACGCAGACAAAAAAAAATCTGCGTCCAATATTCATGTCTGCGTGCCCCTTTTAGAAGACGCAGACGTGAATATTGGACGCAGATTTTCTCTCTCTCTCGCTCTCTCTCCTCTGTACTATGTGTGTTCGAAATTCGAGAGAGAGAGAGAGAGAGAGAGAGAGAGAGAAAAGGAGAGAGGGGAGAGACAGATTGGGAGGGAGAAAGGAGGAAAAGATCGAGAGAAGGGGAGAGAGATAGAGAGAGAGAGAGATGGAAAGAAATAGAGAGAGAATAAAAGGGAGTGGGATAGGAGGGGGGGGGGCAAGTCGCAACAGGATGCACAAAAAGAAGTAACTGCCTGCTTGGTAATGAGAGAAGAAGAAAATCAATAATTTCAATGTTTTTGTATTTCT